AAAGAATACGAACTCTCCGCAGACTGGATGAGTCTCGTTGTCCCTGTCGCCCAAAAGTTATTTAACCAACAGCACGGATCGAAAGCTTGCCTTCTGATTCCGAAAATATCGCCTGCTGCGGACGACCATTCACATTCACGAAACTACACCACCAACTACCTTGAAGAAGATTCGTGAGACACTGGCCGAAACGTCAGTATTAATCAGTCGCGGGAATGACCACAGTGTCTTCTGCGCTGTGCATAAGTAAACCGTGTTTAAAGATATTTTTCAGTATAGCCCCTGATTTTTTAGAGTGAGAAGTCACTGCTTGAATGGTTTGGAAGAGCCTTGCGAGTGCCCCCAGAAAGGCAGCGAAACAGCTACTGCTTTGTGAACCGATCGGCCGATGACCCCGGAACGGTCAAGGATATCCTGTGGCAAATATCTCGAAAGAATCTGCTAGATTTATCTTCTACTGAAGTTAAAACGCTGGCACAGAAACGGGAACGTTGGAAACACTGTCGGACACGTCTTTAACAGCGACCTGAGATCGAAAGTGACGAAACAGTGGTATTAAAAATGATCATTACCACGATTGTCATGGTAACAGTTATCATGGTGGTGAAACTAAAGTAATGTTGATATTGACTGCGATGATGACCACAATAATATGATTACCTTAAAAATGACAATCATGCTAATCGGGGTCATTAACATTATGATTATCACTCCAAAAAACTGTTGAAACGACCAATTTAATAGGGATTGAAGTGATCAATGTTTCTACACAGTTTTCCGCTTATTACTGCATATTAATGCGTAATTTCTTCTATACCTTAAGCGCAAACCCGAATTCCGTGGGCGCTTTAAACTTTTTTTGCCAATTCACCGCTGTGTACACGTTTACCATGTCCAACTGCATAAGACACGTAAGATCTTTAGGGGCCTAAAGAAAGATAACAGTTTTTATGATCGACGCAACAACCTCTAATGAACAAATGAAACGTACCTTTGATTTGCCTTTTGGAATGTAGTATAAACCGGAACTTCGCAGAACGAAGTAGTGCTTCCTCCAAGACTTTTTACCATCCGACTTTAAGTAGAGGACGCCTTCTGTTTCTGGCGGCTGAATTTGCGAAGGAGCAAAGAAATCCTGCAAAGCAAACCATCCTTCTGTTTACAGTTAAAACTTCAACTTGTTTACTTTAACTAGCTCTTGGCGAGCCCTCGGCGAAAAGTCACGCTTATCGGCGTGCGCTTTATCAAGCAGGTACTTTTCTGGCAACAGAAACAAGTCGTACTTTTCCCTCCGTTCCGCAAACACCAATTTATTGGTGGAGTCACGCGTCCACATTAAAATATTTTCTACCAAATACTCATGGTCCTCGTAGATACGCTCTACAAAAACGAATTTGAAGCACATATGGTTATGAAATACGAAACGTAACAGGCTGTCGATGGAAATCACATCGGTCATAATTGTCAAGTTAAAGATATTTTCTGTTATTTACAGTCACATAAAACTGCCCCAACTCATTATAACCGGAAAGAATAGAACAAGAAAATTTTACAGAATCCAAGACTCTTACCTAAACTTTGTATCGCTACGGTAATTATGGAATAGGATAATGATCAATGAAGCGTTATTTCCTGTTAAAAAATATTACAAAATGGAAAAAATTAATGTAAACATTAATTGTGAAATTAGAAGCAGTCTTTTTATCTAGCTGCTTTTAACTTCTTTACTACCTTATCTATTCATCCTTAATGAAACCGAAGTAATTGTAAGTTGAAATGCAACTTCAAGTGAGAAGATGTCACCTGTGAAGCGGAGTTAGCCAGGTACAGCGAATTAGCTGCCCATCAACTGGTATTTCAACAACATTCGTACGCTAACAATCCGATCATAAATCTGTAACTTTCATCTGCAAAAATTTTTCAAAGTCCTTTACAATGTTCGGCATGTTATGCAAGACCCGAAGGTTAGATTACAACTGAGGAAGAATTCTGCTGACCATGAAAGCATAAATGTTAGATCCAACCTGAGAAGAAAACTGAAACAATCTATCAACCATCACCTCATGGTTAACGAAGTAATGCAGCCAGTGCGATGTTGAATATAAGGAGGTGGTAAACCCGGTTGAAAATAGGGTGCACGTCTCTTCAATTCTAAAGAATGACCTTGTCATTTATGCGAATTATCTGATAATGCTATTTTAAGGTTTTCCGATAAAACCTAGCCTTATTGATAGTAAAAAACAGCAAATGTAAATTTTGCAAATACTACACGTAAAATCTTAGGTACAATGAAGCGAGCAAAGTTAAGTCTCGATAACATGCTAATCAATTAAGACGACGTCTTTCTGACCGCAAATCTTTCGCAAAAGCAGTCAAAAACAGAACCTGCAAAAGAAAACAATTTCATACTGTCCCAGAAACAAGCTCTAATTAAGCATGCTATAACGTAAAGTTTAGCTGATTATCTACGCTAATAATATGTGGCGGTAGGTCTAACAGAGTCTTACTATGTACTTCACGTTATATATAAAAACACAACTAAGTTTGGGTAAGAAAAAGAAAAAAATGATATAGATACAATTCGTTTCATCTGCAACTGCACCAAACTATACACCGTACAGAAAGCTGAATATGAGAGCAGCTTCTCTTTCTCTCATTTCGTTGCTTAGTGATCACTGCTTAAAGGATATAAGAAGCCTATTTTCTGCCATGTGTTAAGTCTCAGCAGATGGCAATCTGGATAGAAAAATCACAGTTTAAATCACCCGTTACGTGTAAAACCACAAAAAGGACTCACAATAACTGTAAAGATTAGTTTACTGGTACGCACCCATGTACAGATCAGGATAGTACTCGATAATAGCGTGATTAAGGCCGAGGATAATATGATGTTTCTCTGCCAGGTGAAACAAAACATCGGCGATTGTCCATCGTTCGTCGACAAGGATGCTTTTGCTGCCACCGTCTTTAGTAAAAATTTTCACGTACAGCTAAACAAGAGAAAATCAGTTTTCGCCAAATGACCACTGCTTGCAGCGATGTACCTTCTTAACATTTGCCTCCTTGATCTTCTCCAGGGCGATTTTGATCTTTTCTGATTTAAGACGTGCGTTCAACTGATCCTGAACAAATAAAACTTTTACGAATATCGGGTATACAATTCTCACAGAGTAACTGGATTAATGAATGACTGAAGTTAATGAATGACTACGTCAATTAGCGAAAGTCACTTAAATATGCTAGTAAATAAGCGAGTGAACGAAGTGAGTGAGCCAGAAAGTGAAAAAAGAAGTAAAGAAACTGGATAGCTTCTCCAGAACATCGGGGTTACATTTTATCAGTCGAAAAACTAGATAATTTAGTAGACAGAAAAATACGAAAGTAGGAAAAACCAAGCAAAAATGTAAGTAGCTGAACGCGCGTGTTATTTAATCAGTAGGCAAATAATTAGGTCGATACGAAAGAAAATGCATAGATGAGTAAATAAGGTGGTTTAGAAAGTCAATCATTTCGTAAGAGTAGTAAGTAAATAGTCAAATTCTCAACAAAATACGCAATAATATATTCAGATGAATGAACGAGTCGGCAAGCTAGCCAACAAGTAAATAAGCGAGTGAAAAAAAAACAGACCATCAGTCCGAAAGTAATTAGAGAAATAGGTGAAAAATGAAGTTAACGATAAAATAAAAAATAACTGAATGAATGAGTCAGTGGCTATTAGGCATCCAAGTAAGTATGTAAGAGAGTGAGTGATTATAGCGAAGTAGCTAAATTTGTGAACAACTAAAATAATGAGCGTAAGTCAAAAGTAGATGAATAAACTGTCAATTAAGTGAATCAGTGAATAAACCATTCAGTCAGTCAGGAAATTAGCACATAAATAAGCTAGTTAGGAAAGAGTGTTAGAAAAGACTAATCAATTAAGTGAATCAATCGGCTAGTGGCTAAGCAGATAATTACGTAGAAACTGATATAAAAACGAAAAGCGAGAAATTAAGTCCGTCAGTAGGTAAAATACCATACAGATAAAAGCTTGCGCAAGAATTAAAATATGCAAAAAATAAAAAGGCAGTAGAAAAGTAACAGGTAGGTAGGTATGTAAATATAGAACTAAGTACGGCAAGTAAGACAAAAATGAGTGAGCAATAAATCAGTCAGTTACTAAGTAGCTATGTAGCCACGTCAGTAGTGATATGCGATTAAGCCAATCGGAGGGTAAAAGGCAAGTAAATCTGTCAGCATATAAGAAACCATTGCGTCGCATAAGTGAACATACAACTAAACCGATCAGGAAATTTTTTGGTAACAGTTAAGTGGGCGAATAAGTAACTACAGAAATAAGTACAGGGTAACTGAGCAAATCAATGCTGCATAAGTCATCAAGCAAGTACTATGCAGATATATAAATGTGTGAACAAGTTAATTAATAAATAAATCGTCAAAATCATTACTTACTTCTGAAAGATTCTCTCGTTCAATTTCTTCTTTAACGGTCCGGATTTTCTGTTGAACGGACTCAAACAACTAAAACGATTAACATAGAGAACAGAAATTAAAAATTAAGAAGACTGATGTCTTATGGGGGCTAGAGGACGATTACTGCTGTAATGGAATTACAACGATTATCAGTGGTGGCACTGTTACTGTTGTGCACGACAGAATTAGCAGAAACTTAAGAAAGCACGGTGAAAAATTTTTTATAACGTTAATAATTTATAAAGCAGTCATGTTTCACTGTATAGTTTATTCATGTAAGTTCTCTGAAATTCGGAAGCATTTTGAAGGGACGCCGATGGAGGAGAAGAGGCAGATTAAAACCAGAAGGACGAGGACGAGGAATAACAAAGAAGGAAATCTCTTTTGTGCAACGTAACAGCCTACAACACAGACTGGAATAGTCAGAAGCGAAATATAAATTTCTAGAGGGCAGCTGCAAACGTAGTGGTTGTTCTTGTTGACCGCATGTGCAACAGGTCCCGAATGATCTCATTAAAACAAACATCACATCTATATGCAACATATTTATTAGCTGTATAGTAAACCAAAAAAGTTGTCTTTCCTTTTTATTTTAAAGTTGTGATTTTAAGGTTGCTAAGTTTCCAAAAGGAAAACACTAAGAATTCCACCCGTTATTACTTCGATGTGCTGCCTAAATTATGACATCAATTTTTCTTTATTTCGTTGCTGTAGGATGGATATTCGTACACTGTCATAAGCACTAATGCCTCTCTGCCCTGTCGCTCATCGCTTGTTGAGTTCGAATAATTCTAATTCTAACACGCAGTGAAGCCTTAATGGGTCTAGAACATGGTCAGTCATCTCGAGCATGAGTTGCTTCAGCGAGGGTTCAGTGTCGTTTATTTGGACTTGACCATAAATGATCGACTGAACGCAGTGACTAACTAAAACGAACTGCAGGGCAGGAAAGCCGCGGAAAGCATCGTATGGGCATTCACAACGAGGTCCGTTGGCTGGATCAACCCAACAATCACCTATACTGCACAGCGCAAGAGGGGTTGCATATCTTGGGACCTTCAGTGTAATAGACTTCATCGTTTTTACGTTGTTGCGTTTGATCACGAGCAGGTGCAAGTGCACTCCACAAACGCTATCCCTTCACTTCTCTGACGCCGGGACTTTTGCCTGTTGCGTTTCTGCCCTGGGCGGGTAACGCTCCTCATTATGCCCCTTACAGTGACCATAGTAGATCGACGAAACACAATACCGAACAGAATTTCTGCTCGCAAGTGAACTGCGGGAAATTTTACGACATCGCTGACTAAGAATGTAATTTCCAGCATCCAACGCTTCACTAGCAAAATCTTGAACAATCAATAATATCATCCATTGCACAAAGAAATGCCTAAACGACGTTCTCTGCATGGGAGACTAGTTTGAACTTCATCTGCATAGCAGTGAGAACAGATCAAAAGCCGATCAGATATTTCATGTCTGCTTCGTTCCGTAATGGTTACCAATAACTTTGAAGAATGCCCACGCAGAAAAATTCCACCCAAGCCGGCACACAAGGAAAAAATACAGTACTCACACAGTTGCTATTGTAGCTGTTATAAAGTAATAAACTTGAACTTTATCCTGAATTAATCATTATCATATTGTCGATTTTTGCCTCTATTGCTGCCTCTTCTTATATTCTAATACTGTTGATCGAAATTAAGACATGAATGAACTTCCTTCTCATATAGCCATCTTCGGTTCGACTAACTTGTCTGTTAACAACACACAAATACAAATATCCTTTTCCGCTCTCGTTGTAGGCATTCATGTATTTATATTGAATATTAAAACTGTAGTAATCACCAAAAAACTGATTTGGAACAGTAACATGTCCATTAACATCCTCACGCATAAAAACAAATTATTGATCCTTATGCCGCAACATATTAGAACGATCAACTATTAAAAATTCATTCGTCTTTAGTGATGCGAGATGATCCTGTACTGAGGCTGTGAAATTCTACGAAGCACACCAGTTCTCAAAGGAATATGCGAGCAGTGGGAGGTGTAATATACCGTGAAACCTGGTCTTGGAGGAATCATGCACCATAACATAGACCGGCACATCAAAATGTATCTTTTGATTTTCCAAAATCTCACCTTATATAGTCATCAACCTCATGAATGACCGTACTTACGTCGGAAATGTGAATCAAAGAAAGTCAATGAGCGTCGTCACAAAACAACTGTTTTCAAAAGCTGCCTGTACGTCGTTATAGTGCGACACCGCGCCGTGCCAGTTCTCCGA